CTCGCGCCCGTCTCTGGAGCTCCTTTAGGCAGCGCTCTTAAAACCCCTCTCCTCGCGCACCAGGAAACACAGAGGCAAGAAAAGGTCTCTTGCCTCTTGGGTAGGTCCAGACTTTTCCCCGGACTCCCTCCCGGCTAGCCGTGGCGCACTAACCCCTTCGGGCTATGTTCAAGCCGCCAACCCCAGTCCTCTCCCTGAGCTCCGAACGAAACCGAAACCGAGCCTCAGCTCGCAGCCCCGCCCGCCCCCGGCGGGTGAGCACACGAGCCTCTCGGGCTGGTGAGCGCCGGTCGGCGCCGATCCTCTGTGCGGGAATCTCTCCGCTTTGCCCTCCGCGCCCCTGTTGCTGTGCTGTCCTCCGCGGCTCCGAAGCTCCCCGCTCCGCCTCCCGCAATCTCTGCCCGCGAAGGGGCTCCTAGTGTGTGGAGACCTTTCCTCCTTCACGGCTCCCTCCCACTGGTGCAGGTACCGTCCTTATCCTTTTGTCTCTGTTTATTCTTTTTTCTCTTGCCCTACCCAGGTACGTGGGGAGTTTCTTGCCTTTTGGGAGGTCTGAGGTCTCCTGCCAGCGTTCAGTAGGTGTTCTGTAGGAGTTGCTCCACGTGTAGATGTATTTCTGGTGTATCTGTGGGGAGGAAGGTGATCTCTGCGTCTTACTCCTCCGCCATCTTGGAAAGAGTCTACAATTTATTTTAAAAGCCACCTGTTTAGACTTTATGAGAAGTCCTGAATCCTAGTATTTTGTCAACAAATACGACTTTACCTGACTGGTCTTGATTTTGCAAATGTTAAGCATATTCTGCTGACACCTCTACCCCCAATCCCAATTCCCCATCCAATCAACACCTTTCTAGGCTAAGGAGTTCTATGCAATCTTAAAAACCTCTTCATCCCACCGATCCCTTAAATTGCCCATTTCAAGAGTCTTAAGACTTTCTTAAAGTCATGGGATTAAAGATGAGTTAATTATTGTAGGCAGAATAATGTTAAGGAAAAAACCCATCACTTTCCTGGGCTTTTTGGTCCAGTGTATCAGGTTGCTATCTTCATGTAGTTTATAGCAGTGCTTACCACCTTTCATTTTACTAGCGAAAGAACTTTTTTCTCCCAAATGAAGTTTTATATTAATACCCCACTATATAAACAGGTCGTAAAGTGCAATTGCTCTGAATGAGGTTTGTGAAGACCTAAAACCCCAGAGACTTGGTCAACCCCGGCCCCTCCTTCACATCCCACTCACCAAAGGCCCTTAGGGTGCTTCCCAGGCAGCATGTAGTACACCACGAAAATCACTTCATGGCGTCTTTAAAGATGCCAAGAAGTATGGAAGAATCAAAGGTTCAAATGAAATAAATCAATTACTTCAGAAAATCTCTTTACAGCAACATCCATAAAACATTATAAAATACATTGCTTCTCAATTTACTCAAACATACAGGTGCACTTTAGGAAAACTGCCCTTTTTTAAGTAGTCAAGGAATGGATACAGCATCAACTTCAACAAATACTGGCTACAATATATGATATTAGGAATCATTATTAATTCCTCTTATAATAGATGTCAATATAGTATAAGATATCAAACACACAGTAACAGTGAAATGGATCAAGATTATTTTTTATTGCACATTTGCTTACAAGTTTGCTGCTTTGGGTGGAGCTAAAGCTCAAGCGTTGAGTTAATTTCAGCCGTATTTTCGTCAACCTAATCATAGCAGTGATTTGCCTGTATGTTCCCCTTGGCTTATTATTTCTCAGAAACATTAACTTTCCCAATTTGTCTAGGTGCTGAAGCACAGATTTAACTTTTTTTTTTTTTAATTTAACCACTCAAAAACAACCCGAACAGCATACTGTAGAGAAAACAATGTTTATGTCTATTCATATAACCCAGGCTCAGAGAATTTCTGATTATGTAACATTGTAAAGGTAACTGTAAACCAACCTTCTTCCAAACTATTCAATTCTTATATGTATAATTAAGCATTTATTTTAGAAAACTGTAACACTTTCAGAAATGGGTTCTGTCACAATAAGGCTTTTTGTAAGGTCTCCTCTCCCCATCCAAAAACAATCCCCACAATGACTCCAAATCTTATTTTAAGAAACTATTATTTTAGACTAAGCTGCTCAGAATAGTATTCTTATTTCCTTTCCACCATACTCCACAGTTCAATGCAAAATGGAGAATGTGCTGTTGAAACCGAAATAAAATGGCATTCAGGCAGCTCAGGCTTTAAAAATCAGGCCAGAACGTTCAAAGCCCGATGAAAACGACACAAGAATGGAGGCATAAGTACTATAGCAAACACAAAATTTTGGCCATTAATGGATCAAAAGTAATGGCTGACGCTCCTACTTTAAGCTCATCAATGTCACACTAAAAAAAAAACATGATATTTGGCAAAAATCTTCTAAATTATTTATCCCAAATTCTCAAATGGAAAGTTATTTTTAATGCATCACTCTTAAAGTTTACACTTCAATCACTCATGTTTTCCTTTTAAGACTATTCAGAAAAATAGTTCTATTTAAATAAGTTTTTCCTCTCACACATTTTTACACAAAAGGTTACTAAAATCACAATTCTCAGCGACTTCTTTTTAATCATACAAACAGTATATGCTTCAAGTTCAGTAGAGAAATTAAATCCTTTCTTATTCTATCTAGAACATGATCTGTTACCAAATGTGTAAGAACTCTTTTCCCACAGCATTTATTTATAACAGTCACAACTTATGCAAAGTGTATCTCAACTCCACGGTGAACTAGCATCCATGCTTATTCCACATAGGTACTGCCAGTGGTCCCTGCGGTGTCCTTTCAACAATGACAAACTCATCAGGGTTGCCAAATGCTTCATAGAAAACCAATAAATCTTGTATCGCACGCTCCTCAATCTGAAAGGAGGAAGGAAAAAAGAGAAGTTGCTTTACTCCTTCAATTATACACCGAGCAGGATCCTATTAGCTTTCCAGTTTCCTTTTGTGGAACTACCACTTTCTGTGCATACAAGACAGTGGAATAGGTATCCTGTTATCCCCTTCGAAAGGAGAAGGGTTGAGGCCTGAGTTAGAATAATCAGATACCCACCTTCCCTTGATTTTAATCTAGAGCAAGGAAAAAGAAACTGAAGATGGCTGATGGAATCCATTCATTCCAATTGCTCATCCTGTGAGATACTTTCTGTTGTTGTACAAGTCTAGTTCTTTAAGCTCTTCAGGACAACTGTGAGTCTTGTCTGTTTCCTAAGCCTGGCTCTCTGGTTTTCAGCTAAGTCTGTGGAATCTCAGTGTCTCTCAAGTAAGTTCTCTTCTCCTTAAGTTAGCCTGACTTGGTGTCTGTGGCTTACAACCTAAGAACTCTTACTGATACAGAATCCAGGTGTAGAGCTACATAATGCCAAGTTCTCTACTGGTCACTTTCAAAAACAGTCCAAAGCATCACCGGTGCTAAAAATATTAGCTTTAGCACAATTTATTAGTTGTAAATTAATTATCCTGAATACCTTCAAATTAACACTTGCTGAATGCTTCAGTTTTTACACTGCACTCACATTTTAATGTGATAAATACATGCACCACTGCAAAGCAAACAAAGAGCGTTTTCTTAAGACCTAAGAATGAAATGTAGTATAGTTCTTACCCTAAATTAAACCCAAATAAGCATGTTATTTACCTGAATCAAAGCCAAGGGTTTTTCTCGACTTCTGATAAGAGCTGCTTCCTGCTGTAGCTCTTCTTCTACAATAGATGCAAAAGTGACTGGCGCTAGCACGGAAGAAGCAGGCAGTGAAGAACACAGCCAGGGACTGAAAGAACGGGAATTGTGAATTTTCATTCATCTTGCCAAATTTTGCACACAAAAATCTCCTCTGAAATACTCTTTAACAGTGTTACGTTTTTTTCCTTGTGACCTATAATATAAGGGGACCTGGAAGCTTTTGCATTCAACTTACAGAATGACAAAGTGACAAACAGAAACAAGGAGAATATTTTCTTTGGATTGGTGCTGTAGAGAAAACTTTGGAAACACCAAAAGCTGGAATGGAGCTAAGCTATATAACTAAACAGAAAGGTAACTCAAACTGTGGAGCAGAAAGTATTCAGATAATACATTCTACTTGATATCATACTATTCCCAATTTCTTAATATTCTCTCTCAGTGCTAAAAAGCAGTCTAGCTTTGAGGTCCCAAAGCTAATCAATTAACCTTACTTGGGACTGTCTAGAAGTGGTACACCTATGGTTGCCTATCTAGAAGTGGTACACCTATGGTTGCCTTCTGGTCCTGGGGAACCATGAGTAGAACATCTGCAAAACAACAGAAACTGAAGATTAAAGCTTCTAGTACCATTAGTAAAATTGCTTATTAATAGAAATACAGAGGAGGAATTGCAAGGCCCTGACTCAGAAGACAAATTAATATATGCAACCAGACTTACCTTTAAAATTGTAAGTAAAGAACAACAAAAAAATCTGTAGGTAGTTATAAAATCTTGTGTATAAAATACCATGGGGAAAGATCTCGCAAGAAATGGTCTGTTTTTCAGAAACAGAGACACAGATGCAGAAAACAAACTTACGGTTACCAAGGGGGAAATGGGGTGGCAGAGGAATAAATTGGGAGACTGGGACTGACACATACACACTACTATATATAAAATAGATAACTAATAAGGACCTACTGTATAGCACAGGGAACTCTACTCAGTACTCTGTAATGGCCTATATGGGAAAAGAATCTAAGAAAGAGTGGATATATGTATATGTATAACTGATTCACTTTGCTGTACACCTGAAACTAACACAACACTGTAAATCAACTATACTACCCCCCCCAAAAAAAATGGTCTGTTTTTTCTAATAACATTCATATAGCCAATTTACTGTAATCAAACATATGTTAGGAAATACAGACAACTTTGTGAAGAATGTTTTATATTGGTTAACATTTATGAATAAGAGTGACAGATTAGCACTGAGCTTCAAAATATATAGAAACAAGATAATCAGCAGCCAAATCTTGTGACTATAATATATAGTCTAAATTTTGTAAGCAAGAAAAATACAGGGCTTCCCTGGTGGCGCAGTGGTTGAGAGTCTGCCTGCCGATGCAGGGGACACGGGTTCGTGCCCCGGTCTGGGAAGATCCCACGTGCCACGGAGCGGCTGGGCCCGTGAGCCATGGCCGCTGAGCCTGCGCGTCCGGAGCCTGTGCTCCGCAATGGGAGAGGCCACAGCAGTGAGAGGCCCACGTACCGCAAAAAAAAAAAAAAGAAAAAGAAAAAGAAAAATACAGTAAATACTCTGATACTCTAAGGATTATAGATAGGACAGAAAATTATTTTATTGAAGTATAGTTGATTTACAATGTTGTGTTAATTACTGCTGTACAGCGAAGTCATTCAGTTTTACACGTTTGTGTGTGTGTGTGTATATATATATATATATATATATATATATACACACACACACACTACATTCCTTTTTTTAAAATATTCTTTTCCATTATGGTTTATCATAGGACATTGAATATAGTTCCCTGGGCTCTACAGTAGGAGCTTGTTGTTTATCCATTCCATATACAATAGCTTAAATCTGCTAAACCCAACCTCCCACTCCATCCTTTCCCCAACCCCCTCCCCCTTGGCAACTACCAGTCTTGTTCTCTGTGTCAGTGATCCTGTTTCTTAGATAGGTTCATTTGTGTCATATTTTAGAGTCCACATATAAGTGATATCATATGGTATTTGTCTTTCTGGCTTACTTCACTTGGTATGATAATCTCTAGGTCCATCCATATTGTTGTAAATGGCATTATTTCATTCTTTTTTATGGCTGAGTAATAGTCCATTGTTTATATATTCCACATCTTTATCCATCCATCTGTCGATGGACATTTAGGTTGCTTCCATGTCTTGGCCATTGTGAACAGTAGTACTGCTATGAAACTAGGGGTGCATGTATCTTTCTGAATTATAGTTTTGTCCCGATATATGCCCAGGAGTGGGATTGCTGGATCATAATTCTATTTTTAGTTTTCTGAGGAATGTCCATACTATTTTCCACAGTGGCTGCACCAGTTTACATCCCTACCCACAGTGTAGTAGGGTCCCTTTTTATCCCCACATCCTCTCCAGCATTTATCTGTAGACCTTTTAATGATGGCCATTCTGACTGGTGTAGGGTTGTACCTCATTGTAGTTTTGATTTGCATTTCTCTAATAATTAGTGATGTTGATCATCTTTTCACGTACCTATTGGCCATCTGTATGTCTTTTTTGGAGAAATGTCTATTTAGGTCTTCTGCCCATTTTTGGATAGGGTCGTTGTTGTTGAGTTTTAGGAGCTGTTTGTATATTTTGGAAATTAAGCCCTGTCAGTCTCATAGTTTGCAAATATTTTTTCCCACTCTGTAGGCTGTCTTTTTTTTTTTTTTTTAATGGTTTCCTCTTCTATGCAAAAGCTTGTAAGTAAGTTTGATTAGGTCCCATTTGTTTATTTTTGTTTTTATTTCTGTTGCCTTGGGAGACTGACCTAAGGAAACACTGGTACGATTTATGTCAGAGAATGTTTTGCCTATGTTCTCTTCTAGGAGGTTTTATTGTCATGTCTTATATTTAAGTCTTTAAACCATTTTGAGTTTATTTTTGTGTATGGTGAGAGGGTGTGTTCTAACTTCATGAGTTACGTGTGGCTGATAGGACAGAAACTTCAAGGCACAATCTGCCTTCTAAGAACTCACAAACTAGATCAGGAAACAACATATAAAATGACATAATACAACAGAAAAGAATTGAAGAAAACAAACTTAAAGGTCTTCTGACTCTAAGGACTTTAAAAACCATGGAGAAGACAATAAAAGGGCTATAGAATGAGGGGGTGTAAGAAGCATTCCTGTAAGGAGAAAAATTAACAAAGGAACTACAGAGCGTGGCCTAAATGTGGAATTCTATGCTTAGAAAGATACCTAGAAATTACTTAGATTAATCCAATGCCCTCTTTTCAGCAATAAGCAAATTTAGGTCTAGCTGGGTTTAACAACAGAAAGTCAAACAGCAAGTAGACAAACAGGGCCTAAAATACTGACTTCCTGATTCATTTATGCACATTTATTGGGTTTGTTTCAGCACTATGGTACTGAAAATCAGGCTGATTAAAATTCAGTCCCCTCCACTAAAAAGAAACTCTGGTAAAAGAGATTTAAAAAGGTATTTAAGAATGACAAAGCAATGTGAGAGTATATAATTAATATTTATACCAATAATGTACCAAGTACTATGGATCCACAGGAGAAATTAACAATATGGAGGAGGGTATAAACTGTTGGCTTCACTGAGGAAATGACATTAAAGCTGAGAGGAGTGGCATTGAGATAGATAGGGTTTTGGTCATACTAATACATGGAACAGTAAAAGATTTTGTTGGCTTAAGTAAAGGTAGGTTGTTCTCTTCAATAAACTGAATGATTGGATTAAGAGATTAGGAGGGAAATAAAGTTAAAATGAAATAGTAGGGTCAGAGTACAAATACAGTAAGAACTAAAATGTTTTTGAATCTGATTTGTGAGTGGGCAAATTTACTGAGAGTATTTTCATATACATTATCTCATTTATCTCATTTAATCTTTGTAATACTCCATGAAGAAAGCATGCATTATTTCCGTTATACTGATTAGGAGACTAATACTCAAAGAATATTCGATAATTTGCCTGACTCACAGACTGGGGAAATGGTAAGGACAGAACTCAAATCCAGGCCTTTTTCACTCAGAATACAGTGTATTTTCTATACACTGTAGTGTATAAAAATGTCTTCTCATTCTTTAAGGACTGGTTCAAATATCACCTTTCCTCTTTTTAGAGCACTTCAATTACTGTTCTAAAACTTCACACACATCTGTCTTAACTGCTAGACTAGTCTCTCAAGGTGCAGGACTCTGTTTCTTTTATCTTTGTATCTCAGTGTCCAGCAAAACACCTGGAACATAGTTGTTTGTAAAAAAAAAAAAAAAAAAAGTAATTAGAGAATAAATAACTGAAGCAGAAACCAAAGGATTTTAAATATGGGACAGAATAAAAGCAGAGTTTTTCTTAAAAAAAATTCCTTATTCTTTCGAATTACTAATAACTTCTTCCTTCCAGATGTGGGTACTGAAATACAAAATGAAATGAAAATGGGTACTTATTAGGTTCTTAGTTTTAATGAAGTTCTATGACTTGAATCCTGCCGGATACCTGACCTATGACATTCAAAAAGATAAGAGAATCTCCGGGATGAAGTAAAAGACTTCCAGCCAGAAGAAAAATGAAGCCAAGGAGATAAATAGAAAGCTGTTGGGATAAACCTGTTAGGAGATGATGAGAATCTAAACTAAAATGACTATAAAATAAATGGGAAAATTCTATGTTCTAATGGAATAGATAACTACCTTGGACAGGCTAAATGGAAATCCCCTTGGTTAAGTTCCTTGAAAGGTCCTTAAGTCAGTCAGGGCTGGAGATTAGAGGCCTTCTAGGACAATAAATTATAACATAGCATAACAAAACAGATAATGATAAACTGGTGCTCAAAAATCATCCCGGTGTCTAGGGATCAGCTAAAGTGTTTTGACACGTTCAGAGAAATGCAAAAATCATGTAGAACCAGTTATTTTTTAATTGTTAAGAGTAAGAAGCAGCAACTATAAGCCCTATGTTTGAAAATGATGTCACTGGCAAACAGAACTGAATATAAGGACTAAAGTATCTTATATAGGCCTTGTTAAATCAAAGCCAAACAATCAAGAGAGCTTAAGCATAACAACTTTATCTATGTAACATTCTATAATTCATAAAGTACTTTCATATGATAGGCATTACTGTTCTCGTTTCAGAAAGGTTCAGAGGGTTGCTGTAAGCATTAGACTTAAATCGTTTCATAAGATGTTAGAATTCTTTCCATTAATGATTTTCCAATGAATAATCTCATTAATTATAAATTTACTTAAACAGTTATAAGTCTGTCAAAATTTCCTCTTACAATGAAGCAAAATTGCTAAATAAAACAGAGCTATGACTAAACAAATATAAAAACAGTATAAGCTTTCCAACAATAAATAACAGCATTATTAAGCCTTAGGTATTTGCAACACAAACAGACATCCCAATAGATAATCCATATAAAATTTAGCCTTCTGAAAATAAAACCAACATAAAAGGGCTGGCTAAAATCTTTCAAAGATTTTTGTTCCAACTGAAGAATATTAATCTTGCCAAATTTAGACTTCAAGAGAAAAACTAAATTACTTTTTGCTCACATAGTTGACTGTT